ACTGAGTAACAATGTAATTCCATTTATTATTACAGTTTCTTTGATACTATATTGGGAAAAATAGAAGCATATCAACACCTGACTTACTTACCCAAGGATGTAATTTCTTCAAGCATTTCTATGTTAATATCTTATGTGTTGTTTTTTTTTTTTTTGGGGTTTCAGGAGGCAAAAAATCCTGTATTCAGTGTTTAAAGGGCCCCCAGATTTTCAGCCCCTTTTTTGAGGGAAAAAGGTCTATCTTATACTCCGAAAAATACGGTAGTTGAAAGGCAATTCAACCTTTAGGCAATTAAATCCAAGCAGATTAGTTAAGTCCATTTAAAAAAACAACAACACATAAGATATTAACATAGAAATGCTTGAAGAAATTACATCTTTGGGTAAGTAAGTCAGGTGTTGATATGCTTCTATTTTTCCCAATATAGTATCAAAGAAACTGTAATAATAAATGGAATTACATTGTTACTCAGTAACAGATTTTCTACTGCAAAATACTGGAAAACCAAAATATGTTTGCCTTTCAATCTATGCTATTTAAAAGTGTGGGAAAGAACACTAACTGGAAAATGGACATAACAAAAGAAATCTTAAAAAAGACTTATTTTACTCACATACGTTTTCCAATTTTGGAAGTAATATGAAAGTAATTTTCACTAGATTATTCCTGTGGTTATCAATGTCTTCTTGACAGAAATACTGAGTTTTTTTTAAATACAAACATACCTGTATATGCTCTGAGACTCTATGTTCCTAATATTGTATTGCTTTTTTATTTTGCTGATGCATTGCTTAAGTTTAAAAATATAAAGGATTAGAAGGAAATAAATAGTAAGTGTTGCCATAATTGTAAATGTCACTGTGATTGTAGCTGCCAGTCAACTCTTCAGGCCACACTTTCAGTCCACAGCCCCATAAGGGAGAGATGTCCTCAGCCAGGGACAGAGTGCGATTAACACAGTCCCTTCCTTTTCAGGAGATAGGAAAGGATGGCTCCTTTTAAAACAAGGAGAGGCACACCCGAAATTCCCCTTGACTCAGAAAGGAAAAAGGACAGCATACACCATCTTTCCTTTTAGCATTTGATTAAACTTTAGAAACCCCCCCACCAAAAAAGACACATTCTTTAAACACTAAGATCCATAAAGTATTTTGTGGCTGCTGCTGTTTTCTTTTGTAACATTTAAATTTTAATTATTGGTATTATCTGTAAAATTTGAGCATATGTATATTTTATGTATGTTTTTTNCTCAAATGGACAATTTGGATAGCTAGTGTGCATAAACATATTCTTCCCAAATGATTCACAACTCTGAATCAAATCAGATTTTTTAATCAAGTTATTTTGTGTTTTAATAGAAAGTTACTCAATTCATATTTCTTGAACTCACATAAAGAACAAAATTTAATTTTGCTCATTTTTAAATTTAAATTCTCCAGAAAAAGTATTACAAATGTGTAGGAAAAAGATACATAAAAATGTATAAAGAAAGCAAAGTATCTTAATAAACAGTGCACAAAAACTTTTTAAAAAAATGATTTAAAAGGCAAATATGTAACTGACTCTAATACTAAATAATGCATATTTTAACCTCTATCCAAATATTTTTTTGGATTTGAATAATGCACATTTTGAATCTATATCGAAATAATACATATTTGAATCTACATCCAGCTAAATGCATATTCATGTTTGTAAACGTTTAAAAAGAATAATTCACTGACCTGATCTAGAAATAGCATTAAACAACATTAAATCTGGAAGAATAAGAAACTGAAGTCTGAATAGACGGATTTGTCTCCATATATATTGTCACATTAAAATTGCCACCAAAATGTCAATATGTTGTAATAATAAATATAGCACTGTTCAGATAAGAAGACAAAAATCTCATAATACTATACAATTTGGTCAGAAAACCTTTTATGAACTAAAAGCAATACTAACACTACGTCATACCTGGTAAGACCAGCTGTTTTGCCTGGTTGAATTTTTTCTGCTTGTTTTCCCCTTTGCTTCACATCAGCCAACCGCTGACGCATATTGATGGTCATCTCAGAACTCAGACGCCAAATGAAAATGCAGCTGAAAGAAGAAGAGGAAAAAATATTCAAGCATCATAGCCTGCTGTCTATATATCTGAGATTCCATAAAGTATCCCCCTATTCCATACCCATTTCCCTATGGACAGTATTTCTCTTTACGCTTCCTGTTTTTAATGCCGGCACTTCAAAGGCTGCTAGTTTTAAGTTTCATTCTCCATTTCAATATAGTTTTTACTTTAGATCAGGCAACTCTTTATATAAGAGGCAAAACTTTCATCAAAAAGATACATCATATGGAAAGTATGGCATTGGTGCCACATAATGTACTTACATTTTTGATGGGAGCTTTGGGGGACTCATAGACAAGTGGAAAATAGATACNCTCAAATCAATAATTAGGGACAAATGCAATCATTATTTCTATACCAGTCATCAAAGCAAAGTATGATCTAAAATTGAGAAGCCACAATGTGATAGAAGAGCAACAGCACTGAAATTCAGATCATGGTTTGTACAAATGAACCCATGACTTTTCAGAGGCCTTATTTTATTTTTATTTTACTTTTATCATTTCATATAACATCCTTATTCCTATAGCTTTTTAAAAAGCTCAAGATGCCTGGTTCAACTTGCGACAGTCTCCAAACATATATCTACTAAAATCTGGATTATCCAACGACACGCATCATCATCTTTATTGTACAGCAACTTAAAGCAATGAAACTAAAAAGATAAACTCAGTCACATCTACCAAGCTACAACCTTAATTTAAATGCTTGTTTTCAAAACCAAATTCACTCGCATAACATCACACACAGTCCTCAGTGTTTCAGCCCCACCTAGGGATGCTCGCATAATGGCTTACGTTCTTTCGGCAAGTGGCCTCCTCTGATCGCTTCTAGTACAGCAAAACCAGAACCAACCTAGAAACAGAAGCTGGCCAAACAGAATGGATCCAGCTTAAGCAAAGAGGTCAGACCTGTTTTCCAACCAGCTGTTGGGCTGGTATGCCTTAGATTCAACTTTCTAACCAATAGCATGTGGCTAACAAGCCTTGTGATACTGACAAGAAACCAGGAGTGTCTGATAGAAGCTGGGCCTTTAAAAAAGCAGAGCAATGCAGCTGCTGGGATGGTGAAGAGCTTGCTATAAAAAGAACACTGCTCCACAGCTCCAGAATTTTTGGCTTCAACAGGCTTCTCCCAAGCTAAATAAGAACGTAGAGGAAAAGGGTTTTTAATATCAGCAATGACTCAGGATTAGACAGGGTCAATTTTATCTCAAATCTATGTCAGATTGAGCATCTCTTTTGAACATACCCAATCTGTTTCATCCTCATTCTCCCCAACTGGTTGCCCACTTCCCATTACACATGAGAAACCGTCAGTTTAGATGATAAGAATGCTGACAGGCCAGGGTTGGCAGTATTTTTAAAAGAAGTTAAATACTTTTCACAAAATAGCTTAAGGGAAACTTTGATTAGGAAGTGTGTATTTATTTACTCAATTTCATACTAGTGACGCTGGGTGATTCATGGAGGATTAAAAATTTAAATAGAACTGAAGTATAATAAATGGACATAATGGTATTCAGGAACAACAATATACGTCAGCAAATAGAACATCAGTCTTGAGAGCCCAATTATCCCTGTTTCTCATATCCATGTAAATTAATTTTGACGCAAAAAAAACCCCAGTCACCTACTTTTCTATTTTATTTTTCCTGACTTCCATAAGTCTGTCTGGAATGTTTATTTTTTCACTCTAAAATAAAGCCCAGTACCTGCTAACATGCATGTTTTATATATTGAGCAGAAGTATTCAAGAAATATTACCGTATATACTCGAGTATA